GATATAAACATGGGACTGACGCTTTGCAGATAGCAGTAACGTGCTCCTTGAACGACAGATTTTCGTCAAATATGACACCGAGTATCTTTCGCGACGTCACACGTTCAGTTCCAGGAATAGTTCTAGGTTGTTGACCTTTTTTAAACGATAACAGAACCTCTTTTGTTTTACCGTCATTCAGCGTCAAGTTTTTGGAGTTAAACTGGACTTCGAGTGCATTAATAACGTCACTGGCGTAGTCATGTTCACCTATGCGACCTACGACAAATGGGGTAAAATTGTCAGCGAATTTAGTGAATCTACACCGTCTTTCAGGAATGTCAGTTGTGACTGATATGTCATTTGTACCACTGTTGAAAAGCGGTGGTCCGTTTACTGTCCCTTGCGGAACGCCTTGACTGTTAGTTAGTTCTAGTTCACGAGATAGTTGATCGTTTACAAGAGTCGAATGAACGCGACCAGAAAGAAAATTGTTGTACCAGTTTATAAGAAAGGGGTTATAATGAGACTTATGAAATCCATCAATAATAGCACGATGAGAAATAGAGTCGTACGATTTGCTTAAATCAAGAGTGATGATTCGAACGTAGTCATTTTCTGAACAGATGTAGAACACATCGTTTAGTTGCTTGATAAGCGCGCACGTAGTTGAGGAACCTTTTCGAAAACCGAACTGATCGTTCGACAGGGTTGAGTGATATTGCTCAGATACAAAGCTGTCAAAGACAATTCGCTCAAACACACGAGCAATAATAGGAGTCAGACAAATAGGCCGCAGGTCAGAAAACTTAGATGGACGGGGGCACTTCGGAATAGGCTTTATGCAACCAATTTTCCAAGTTTCAGGAAAAACCGTACTTGATAAAGACAGATTAAAAGTGTGCGTCAAGGGCTCTGCTAGAATATGGGCGTTTTCACGGTATAACCAATACGGCAGACCGTCAGGGCCAACAGTAGTTTTTTTCAACTTTGATATGTAATTAAACACCTGGCGTACATGAACAACAGGAAGTTGGTAACCTTGTGTGTCATAGATTTGAGGCTGCGTGTTTACGAGATTAGTGCTAATATTATTATAATGAGAATTCAGTTCATTTACGTGGAAGTGGTTTTCAATGACAGGTTGTTCACGTTTCACTTAATAGTTGACTTGCTTCCACCACAATTTGCTTCCCTTTTGTTTGTTCCGAGAGTTATTGGAAAAAATCTGGTGTCAAATTTCTGCAGCAACCGCTAAAGCACTCGGCTTTTCTTGAATAGCTTGTTTTTCTTTTTAAGCGAAAGCTTTACAACTGGTGTGACAAATGGTGGCTCAGTGTTTCTTAGAGAAACCCAGGGCAAGGGACAGAAATGGTTAAAATACGAGGTGAGGACATGGCTCAATTCTGAAACCGCCTGATTGACCATATTTGCGTGCAGGATTTGAGAAAAGTCACATTGATCCAATGCAAGATTGCAAGATCGTTTAAATTGAACAGGTTGGTCTCGGAAAACTATTTTCCTGCGAGAATGCTTGGATTTGGCGATCTTTGCAATAACTCCCAGGTGGTCACTTGATATTGTAAGCGGAAACGTTTTGCAGCATTGGAATATACTCGGGTCATCGCATAGAAATTTGTCAAGATTTCGTGCTCCGCGCGTTGGGTCGGTGTTAACAAGATGCAAACTGAAATGAGTCGAAATTAGGCCTGTGTCGAGGGAATTCAGGTCACCACATACGACAACGCAACCTTAGGTTGTGTTTTGCATGCTGTTCTCCTCGTGGAAATAATATGTTCGGAGACTGCTTCCGCATTACAGGCGTCTGGAGGCGGAGGGAAGTAAAGTAAGCAGTGTAAAATGTGATATTCGACCAGAATGGCCAAAATGCAATCTCTGCAGAATTCGAATTTTTAGCAGCGAGCCTTCCGGATTGGTGGTTATTACGAACTAAAAACGTTATTGGAACGATTGGCCAAACGGTGAGGGCCAGAATATTCTGGTATTTTAAAATTTCAAAAATTCGAATTATGACGTCATATTTCTGAGAAACGTCAGAAACGGCCATTTTGACGGAAACGAGAAAGAAGAAAAGAACAACATTAGCTGCGCTAGCAACAACAACGAAATTGAGATCGGAAAACAACAACGAGTTACAGAGTAACAGAAGAACACTCCGAGTTGCAACTATTGTGCTGCTACAATAGTTGCAAGGCCGTTGCGAACAACGGTGAAGGGTGAGAGACGGCCTTCCGGATTAAGAGAAAATCAGGATTAGCGAGCTTGATCCAGCGGATTCATCAATCCGGAAGGGTAAAGGAACTGAAACTTTTATCCTGTTGCATAAACTTTTAGCTTCCTGTCATGTCCTGACTTGAATTTAATTAATATCTGGATTCGTTTTGATAGGTATGAGAAGCTAGGAGTTGGGGGAAAGGGTTGATCCATCTTCGATGGAGATGATGATTTTTATCTACTGAACAAAAACAATAGTAATATAATAAATAGTAGTAGCCCTGTTTTTAGGAGTGACCTCGTGGTCTGGGGATACTGAGACCCAGCCATGAGCTCACTATTTCTGCATGTAATCTAGTTAATTTGAGTGTTTTGACCGAAGCCGAAGGCAGTAACGTTTTTGTCGACCCGATGTTAGAAAAGACCACCGAAAAGTACTGGCTTGGTAGAGACGGTGAAAAGCATGCAAAGCTCTGTTTAGACGCTAGCCAGTCGTCTTAAGACTTAGTTTTGTTTTCCGTCGATATGTATCTTCCGGGCGAAGGTTACAAAACACGAGGACTTACGAAGAAGTCAAGCCACAAAATTTCAAATTGATCGGAACCGAGAAGATGTAGCCGTGCGTACGACAGGTTGTGCCTATTAAATGCACATACTCCGCCTCCAGTTTGCTTATTCGAATTCTTATGGCTTCGATCATGTCTTTCAAGGTGGTAACCAGGCAGCATGAAGGAATAATTAACATTAACACCCAACCAGCTTTCGCAAACAAGACAGATGTCAACATTTTGGTCTAGCATGTCTGTATGTAAATGTATCAGGGCGTTTGGTTTTTTGAGGGATCTGGCATTAATTAGCAACTAAGTGACAAATTTGGCTTGTAGTCAATCCAATTTATGTTCCTGTCCGTTTATAAACAGTTTCAAACCACGGGTTTTTGCGTTTTCCTTTGCGACCTGACCAGACTGAAAAAGTTCGTATCGGCATTTCTGTAACATTCGTCTACTGCAGTCCCACATGAGGCTTAAGAAAAATAGGCCCTATAACCACTGGCTCAAGGGTCAGGGACACCATCTCTTGTGTTTTTCTACCTCAAGAACGGTCGGAGCCAGTTCGGTTCGCTTGTGACATGAGACTACGACCCGTTACAGCTTAAAGGCTACTACTAAAATATCCCCCCACTCTAGAATTAGAAACGTCCCCATACTTAGGTCTCTAGATACCCAAAATACATGAACGCCGTTAAAAACCGGGTTGGAACAATCCGTTAAGTTGCTTTTTTATTAGACAGTGGAACTTTGATCCATTTCAGATGGATCAACCTAAAACTCGCCTTACCTCAACATAACAATCATAAAACACACTCTAGAATTTAAATTTGTACTCACATAGTAGCACGCTCGAGAAGTGGGAAATAATCCAGACGGTAGTTAACTCAAGAATTAAATAACGTAACTAAATGAGTCTAATGTTTTATAGTTTTAACAATGAGAACGAGTTTATACTCTAGACAATAGTTTTCTTGTGAACCATTAGGACACTCAAGCTGTCCACCTTTCCACCGAAGGTTCACTCTAGTCCAGTTCCGAATAATACTCCAGTCGTTATAATCCAATTCGAGGGAATGCTCTCGTCTCTGTCACAGATGGGACAGCTCTACTCTCGATTATTATAGTGATGGAAATTGCGAATAGCAATTTCCTACTGCTTTTTCTTACAACTTTCCCGCGTGTGTGACTCAATCGTTCTGAAATTGTTCTGATTTCTCTTTTCTGATTTTCAGTTATCGCGAGAAAATCGTGCATGACAGGTTCCATTCGAAATTTTGAAAAATTAAATTTCACTCCAAAATCAAGTGTTTTTTGCTTCTCTCAAGGTCAAACTTCCAAATATGACCGACTGGCACATTCAGCAAACTCTTTTCTAGCTCAAGTTCAACTTTCGTTAGTTCACGGGAGATAAAGACGTTGTCAGAAGAGTTCTTCAACTTATGTGTACTTGCCAGAACCTTTCGGTACTGCCAGTCGTTCGGTAGCTTGACTATCAGTGTTCTTGGTCTTGTAACATTTTCTTTTTTCTTCCCAGTACGGTAGAGATCCGCAACGCTAGTTTCTTCTCCGCATAGATCATTTAAAATTGTGCGTACTTTGGCCATATCAGACTCCATGTTGTCAGATGAGAGTTCGTGATCCGGTTCTTTTAAATTCTGTATCCGTATGCCGTTGAAGCAACTGGGATCTGGTGGTTGAGGTTTCTGGAGACGGGTATCGGAACCACTGAGAACACTGGGGGGCTTGTATTCTTCCGGTTTTTCTTTCCGGCTGCAGGCATGTTGTGAGTTTGAGAGTCAGGTTCAGTCCTCGCTCATATCCCTGAATCTATTTAATAAGTTTATCACAACAATTAGGCTAAGGACGGGTACAGTGGCACCCTATGGCAAAATAGGGTGGAATTATTTTAAATCTATTGGACAATAAACAATGTCTTAATTTATTCCATTGTTAGATGTTATTTGATAATTTTATTTTGTTTTAGCAATATACATATACTTCATTTTCAATCTATGATTTTTTTTGTTGTTCGTGAATGCATTGATCAACGACATGAGAGTACAACTAGATCCGTGTTCAAAATTGTTCTACATCATGTTTGATTTTGTTCTTCGGCGTGGCGTTCGGCAACTAGATACTCAATTGATGTACCTTGTCAATGTTCGCACTAAATTTAACAGGTTAAGCCTTGCAATTTCAAAGTTTTTAGGTTCAAATTTTAGGTATTTTTAGGTTCGGTATGAGCTGCAGCCATTTGGTTTGTAGCTTGTTAGCTTTTCTGGCTTTTGTTACTAGTCTCTGGTGTGGTTTCGTGTTCGACGACAGCGCTGCAATAATAAAGAACTACGATCTGAGAAGCTCAAGTGCCTGGACTGATCTGTTTTTCAATGATTTTTGGGGAACAGCAATGAAAAGCGTAATTGATCTTATTAAGAGTATCAACGTATTTTAGAGTTCTGTATAGGTCTAGGTTATTTTTTATTGTTCTTTTTAGGAAAAATCTTAAAGCGCTTTAATATAAACATCTGTGCATTCATATATATTTATGCATTTATGAATGCAATTACGTATTAATGCACGTTTTGAGTTCAATTCAAATTCATCTGCTAAAAATAGGCAAATTACATGTGGCTCTACAAAAACGCCCCTCTAAAACGAACAAGGAATTAGCACGAATAAACGTACAAGATATAGTTTCGAAAGTGGATTTTAAAAAAACCCATTGTTAGATGTTATGAAAACCAAGTGGATATCAAGTGGATGAAAACCCTAGAGGAATCAAAACTACCTTACGATGCATTTTCTAATTGAATCAACTTTGTCTTGAAGTTCAAAGAGCATTAGGGCCATATATTTTTAAATTTTAAATTCGAATAATGGATTTCTTTCAATAATAAGTCCCTTTTACAGCCTGTTGGTCATTTTCTATAACCTTTAGGCCAATGAAAGCTTAGGAGTTGCAATAACTGAAAGTTAAGCTACACAATAAATGGATCTTGTTAACTATTCCCCCCTTCCCCTATTTTGATTTTCAGAAATTCAACTTTGGCTGCCACATTATCAATAGCTTAAAATAATTTTCAGAAAATATATTTAATTAAAGTTTCTATGTAGGTATTTTAGAAATAGTGAGTAATACAAATACGAACGCGTAAAAAATGAAAACCTAATTAATTGCTTGCATTTTTGAAATGCATATTTTATACAGAAAGGGTGGTCAAAAATAATACATGCATATGGGGAAATAGTTAACAAGGTCCGAAAGGGGGATACTTAAGAAACTGCCAATTATTTTATTATATAGAGCGGGGTCATTGAATTACTGTCAATTGAAATGGCTCTTCAGTATACTTCAAACATTAAAAAAAAAACAGTTTTTCAAAAAGTTAAACTCTTTAAATAAGTTAATAGATTAGCAGAATAGTTTCTCTGTAGGAGAGGAGCCACAAATCGTATCGACCACTGACAGTGCTGACTTTTCGTCTGAATTACTGGTTGCACGAACTGGAACCTTTCGGCTACCATTTTGCAAATGCATTGCTCCACTCTTTTGCAACATGGGCTTTTTTTCATTTCCTGGTGGCATCGAAAGATCTCAGAAATAACCATGCACAGAAAGGAAGAGAGAAGTTAGCTGGTCAACTATGGTTTGAGGAGTCCGTTGCAGTCACAGCCGCGCTTTTGTTCGCAGTTCATCCGGTCCATGTTGAAGCGGTGAGTGACGAATGAACTTAGCTCAAGCGCAATTACAGCCGCCCGTTAAATATTTGTTAACCTTGCCATTACACAATGCATTGCAACCGTCTAACAGATTTTTTTTACCGCTGAAACTTTGTTTACAGGACTCTTCTGCTGGACTCATCTTCTTACTATATCATGTTCCAGCTCCTCATTTTAACCGTTTAACTTGAACTTCGAGTTCTGATAGTTATTTATACCTGCGAGAGCAATATCTTGTTGTTGGGAACTAAACTTTTTCCCGTCAACAACTTTTCTCACTCGATCTTCTTTTCACGTATTCCCTTGGAGTCCTTGCCGAGGTTGCAAGGGGCAAGTGGTTTTCATTATATTTGCAGTTGCTTGCAAGCACAAGTTTGTTCATTCTATTATCAGGGGGACTTGAAAGATTAAGAATATATATATTTCCGAATTTTTTTTTTAATTTCAGTTGGTTTCTGCTGAAAGATTGTCGGCTTACTTACCACATCACTGATTTTTTTGCGGTGTGTGCATTTTTCATTGTTGTTGCAAGTGTAGTTCATTGTAGTTTCAGGTGGGACTTGAAACATTGAAGTTTTTTTTTGTAAAATCATTTTTGCTCGGTTCAACTTCTGTCTGCTCAAATGGTGCATAGACATTTGTCCTTGATAAAATAGTCCGAATTTGTAAAATTGTACCAGGCATTTATGTCCCAGACAAAATTGTCCGAAATTGTTTTGCAAAATTAATTTCTTTGATTTGACTTTGTGATCTTTAATGCTTTGTTCTTCTGATGTTGTTTGATCGTTCTTTAATTAGTTTATATGCGTACCAATTAGCCATCGAACAGTCGAAGTGAGACAAAACTTTCAAGAACATGTTGAAATTTAAAAGCGCGTTTGGCCGAGCGATGGAGTCATTGGTTTCATGGCCAAAAGGTCTGAAGTTCAAATCTCGGGTCTGACAAAAAGTTTAAGTAATTTGGTCAAAATTGAAATGGGTTGACTCGATTGAGCCAAAAGGGAAGAGGATGGGAAAAGCGTGATTATATTGATCATTTTGCCGTTTTCAAAACGGCTAGCTTAAGTTTGAAAATTCGGGGAAAAAGTTCAACTTAGAAAAATTTATTGAAATTTGTTGCTTCGCAATATCAACTCGAAAATAATTTGACTTTCAATTATAGTTTTATGTTGCAGCTGCTTCCTTTTAGGAAACTCTGAAAATTACTTGGGTCGTAGGCCGCAATTAATTCGGAAAAGTTTTTGTCAAGTTTGTCGTATAGAGGTTTTTTATAACATGACACTCTTTGCCCGGCACACATTTTTTCGATCAAGATTTCAGAATTTTTCTGTTCTTCCAAAAATTTTTCTATGAGTTTGGGAAATGATAGGTGCTTGCCGTTCACGAGTTTAACGAAGCTGCTATTCCAACCTTCGACAGCATTGTTTGTTCTGAGCCGCCCGGTTAACTCCAGCTGTCAACGTCGAATCTGGGGTTTTGACGAGTTCCATTTGCCGCCGAGAGTCGACCAACGTAATTTTCCTCAAAGTAATTGAAGATTAAGTAGGCTGTTTTAGGGCATGTCTTCTGAAGTGTTTCAAAAGCAGTAACTTACTGGCAGGAAAGCGATACTCAACAGCATTCGGACATGCTCGCGGATTTCTAGATCTATCTTGTAGTTGTTTGTATCCCCAGTAGACTGATTTTGACGTCAGACGCTTTGGCCCTAATGGAAATAGCGGTATCGAATTTGTACATTGTTGGATATTGAATTGAACGCATTTTTGATCGCTATTTCGAAATCAATGGTGGCTCGTTTAGGAAATTCAATGTCGAACCAGCCCAAACGGCCATCGCATTTAGATAAAACACATCGCCACGAAAATGAGATGTCTGTTAGAACTCGATTTTTAATATGCGTATACATCATAAACTAGCATTCCGTTCTTTTTATTTGTCATAAGAGTTTCCATTGTCAACTCAAACTCGAGAGCAATAACAATGACATTATAATCTCTCGTGTCTACGTTTGGCAACATTATCAATCAAGCGATAATTTCGTAGGTATGTGTAAATGATTTGAGTCATGTGTTAATTTTGTCTCTAATATGCTGTCTTGACTCGGCCGGCTCAAAGATTGTCGGCTGTGATTCCTCTTCGTAATTTTTGTTCCTTTTCTAACTTTATATTCAAATGTCTGGCATGTTTGCCTAGAATTAACTTCTATCGAAACAAACGAAAATTTTGGCAAACCAATATAAATTTTGGTAGACCAAGTTTTTTCATTTATCCTCTTCTGGTTTTTCCTTTTTTTTATATAGAAATAAAAAATATTTCCTGATTTTTCACCAGTTGAGTAATTTTTGATCAAGTTGCGCATAGGTTTTTTTATGCTTGTTTTTAGGTTGCTGGTGTGGTAGGCAGAGCAGAAATGCTGGCTTTCATCTCCTCACTATCCGCCCTTCATTTTTATACAGTATACGCCCTCTCATCTCATCAGAAACACATCATAAAAGAGTTTGATGTGAAAACAGATAAGGAAAAACTTACTGCCACGGGTAAGTTCAAATTAACCATATTTCAAATGACAGTTTTTTGATGGTAGTCATTGACATTGATTAATTGCAAATTAATTAGGTGGTACGTTTTCTTCCAGAAAATTGTATTCTATCTGTTACATATTTAAATGCGGGCTGCACTATTTCGCCATGTTCAAGTTTTTTCAACGTATTATTGTTCCGACCATTGAAAATGGGGAGGACTTTTGTGTTCGGGTGTGTGTTTTTTTTGCTTTTTGTTTTCCACGCGAAATCAGGTACCATAAAAAATGATCGGACTGGGTTGAGTGAATATCATTTTAAAGCCGTGATATATCTTTTAATCGTGATTTGAACCAAATAAAAAAATTTCCAAAAAGTTTTCCCAGTGTCGAGAAAAACCGGTTTTTAAATTTTTGATTTTTTGTCTTGATTTGAGCGAAAAAAGCAAGCGAGCAGGCCTAAAAGCTAGATATGCCTAATTTAAGACCTTAAAACTTAATTTTAACAAAGTAAGACTAGTTTTTGGAGTATTTTAGCTTCATTTTGGGAACCAAAAACTTCAAAAATTTCATAAATTTTTGGGGAAAAAATTTTTTTTTCTTGTCATTTTTCTACAATTTTTTTTGTCCAATTTGCCTATGTTAGTATGGCTGTCTAATATGCCAAAATTATTTTTTGAAATGTCAGATCCTTTTATCACGCCAAGCAGGAAAACTACACTAATTTGGTTTAAAAAAACTTTATAAACCGTAGTTTTCTAAAACCTATGTTCGGAACATTCTGTGCTACTTGCACAGTAACCGGCTATCCTTGTTTAAGTTTGAAAATAGAAACCCAAGTGGTAGGCTTTCAGGCTTACTCTAGGGATTGCATATTGGGCCTCCCAAATCTTTGAGTACCAAAATCTTTTTGGTTAACGAGATACAAAGATTCTTGTGATCTTTCATAAAACATACTTTAAAAAATCCCACAAAATTGAAATTCTCAACCTTATAATTGGGTGCTGTCAGGGTTTTCTCATAGGTTTCAAATCTTGCCTCTAAATCTGACTGCTCAACTACTTTGATTTTGCGAGATATGATGTTTTTTATGATTTTTTCAAAATAAGTTTTATGGTTGTTTCAAAAAAAGTTTCAAAGAAATTATATTAAAGTTTGACAAAAGTTGAGTATATCAACCGAGTAATCAATTCTATAGTGAGTGGATCAATTCTATGGTGTCAGGGTACTCTCAGACATTGCAAATCATCCCTCCAAATGTGACTGCTGAAATCATTTTAGTTTCCAAGACATGACGTTTTTTCAATAGTTCTTTAAAAATTTTCAAAAAAAACTTGATTTGAAAAACTTTACGAAGACATGGAAAGTGAAAAAAGTTTATTAGTGAAAAAAGTTTTTAATTCCCAACCCTAAAGTGGGTTCATATCATGGTAGTTTCAGAGGTTGCAATTCTTTTCTTCAAGTTATGACTGCTTGATAATCTTTGTTTGCGAGATATGCCATTTTTTATGATTTTTCAAAACTTAATCTTTAAAAAAAAACTAAACAAAGTTTGAACTTCACAAAATTTTTATTTGAGGCTGTCGAGGCACGCTCAGGAAGTTTTTCAAAGGTTTCTGAAGATGACTGTTCGACGCATTTCACTTTCCTAGATATGAATTATGGTTCATTGTTCATGATTTTTTTAAAAAAAATTAACATTAAGTTCCAAAATTTTTTTTTTCAAAAAATGTAAATTGTCGACGCATTGGTGGGGTGAATTCAGGTTACCACCAGCAGTTGCGGAGGTGGCCTTCACCCTAATTTTATTGCTCGATTTGTTCAAGTAGTTGAAATTGACATTTTTTTAATGCTATTTCAATAATTTCCATTAAACTTATCAGTTTAACTAAGAAAAAATCCTGCTGTTTTAAAATAAAAAAGGACTAAGTTTAAAGAGCGTCTCATTCATGAATTCGGTGATTTTGCCAATGAATTTTTTTAATTATGGGGAGTTAACTTGTATACTGTCAGCCATTCTGAAACCCAGTAGCTTCAAAGATTTGACCATTTTAGTTTAAAAACAATTGTTGAAATTTTTTTAAAATTTTTTAGATGAAAAGCGTCGTTGGATTCGCCTGTCTCTGATTACGGTTGCATTCCTTTCGTTGTTTTTTTTACGTTTTTTATATATAAGCGGTTTTCACGTTAAGTATTCTGTTTGAAGCACCGGAGGTGCGTTACACGCTAGTGTTTTTAAAGCTCTTAAGTGACATTTTTCGATGCCCCTTAGGAAGGAGCATTTCACCAAAAGCTACTTCAGATGCATTAAATGGCCATGATAAGAGTATTCTTGCCAGGTTTTCATTTTATTTGCAGGAAATTTAAGAGAGCAGTGTTGTGCACTAGTGGCTTTTGTGGTGTCTCTGAGCTGTGGCATGCTGTGCAAGGAGACAGGCATCACAGTTGTGGCTGTATGTTCAGTTCTCGATCTCTACTTCGTCTGTCAGGTACGATCTAAGACTGCTCTGTTAGTTCCCTGAAATGAGAATTTTCGAATCAAACTTTTATTCGGTCAGCCATTTCATTAAAAGAATTGTTTTTTTTTTAACCTGATCGAATTTTCAGTAATGACATCTGATTATACACGTTAGTATTAATATCAGCACATTTTTCTGAGGACGTTTCATATTTTTGACTAGACGGTCCTCTTTTTAGCAACAAACAAAGAAAATAGATACGAATTAGTACGTACTTCCTCATTACATTTGCGAAGCTAGTGTATTTGTACGAACCTCCTTTTTTTCCAACCTAAGTCGCAAATTTGGTACCACTTGGATAACTTTTACATCTTTTTGATAGCATGTGCTTTGACATTCGAATACTAATAAGTTGACACAGTTGATGCATTTTTATTTCATCAAATGAACCGAAAAAGTGATTTGTTCCAAACAACAGCAATAATAAAAATTCGGTTTCAGAAATTTTTTAACTCAATATATCTGACAATTTTTTGAAATGAATAATTTAAACATAATGTAGCTTTATGCTTTGCGATTTGTTACATGCAAAGTTTGGATGCCCTCAGTTTGTTATATACCAAATTATTATTTGCAAAATTGAGTTTTTTTTGTAGTTAGAACATAGTTGAAAGATGCCCGAGGGAAAAAGAGCCCGACCTGAGGCCACGAAGTCCCCTATGGTTTCTCTTTTGCCCGAGCCTATCTTCAACTATGTTTTAACTGTTGAAGAGTATGTTTTTGCTCTTTCTGTTTGTTTTTGCGGCTGTTTTTCCTTTCCCCCCACCTCGTATGAGCATCAATTTTATGATGTAATGAGTAGCTTTACAAGGTTAATTATGAAGACCAAATATGTTTGTCATGGCCCGATTAGTCCGCAGGGGGCTATTCTCATGCGCGAAGGACCGAATGGGCGAAAAAAATTGTGGGCCAAGGACCGAAGACAAAATCAGCCGAAAGTCAATTTTTAAAAGAAACAATTGCCATTCAGTTAAAATGAATTAAATGAAGCAATATTTAGCTTTTTTCATTACGAAACCCTTGAAAGGTAAAATTTGAAAAGCCGCAAGTCAATTTTTAAAAGAAACAATTGCCATTCAGTTAAAATGAAGCAATATTTAGCTTTTTTCATTACGAAACACTTGAAAGGTTCAATGACAATTTGAAAATTTTGCATATTTCTGCCGTTTTATATTCAGCCAATATCAATACTCCAGTCCCTGGAAATGTTTACTTTCTTTCCAAGTTTTAGATTACTGAAATCTTATTGGCTAATTACTATTTTAGCGCATTCGGTCCTTCGCGCATGAGGGATTCCACCTAGTCCGCATGCCAATTTTTTTGTTAATCGGTTGGTGGGAACAGTAATTTTACTTGAAAAAAACTACAGGTGGGGGGGGGAGGGAGGAAGGAAAAAAGCCGTTTTTGCTCTTTCAATTGTTATAATGGGGCTTCTTTCAAAAAAGAGCCCGGAAAATTGTGAAAAATGCGCGAAACTATGCAAATGATTTCTTTTTTCATTCATGCGTTCTAATATTTCATTTTTCATTCATGCCTTGTCGTGAAAGAACACGTGTGAAAGTGCAAAAACGTACTCTTCTTGTATTTGGTGCTGAATCGCATCGACAGTTTGTTACCATATGTATCTGCTTTATTCGTGACTAGTTTTTGTCGTTTGTTAAGCTTGCCTGCTGAGTGGATAGTGCGTGAGACTCAAAATCTCTTGATTGCAGTAGGTCGCAGATTCGAATCCTGCACGTAGCCGAGTTTTTGCTAATTCGAGGCTATTTTCTACTTTTTCGCATTTAACTTGATAGAGCTGTTTTTTCGTGTTCTCGCAGGTGTTTCCGAAGCGCAGCTTCGCCTCTGTGTTAATTTTGGTCTTTATTGAGACAAATTAACAGCTGCAATCTTCGCTATTGTTTGTTTCAGAAAAGCGCTTGGGAGCTGTTAGATGAACTGATGCCTCTAGTAGTGTACAGAGAGAACATCGGAGATCCAGGAAGAGAAAAAGAAAAGATCCCGGATAGTCACTTCAATGCCAATCCGACTAGTATAGGCACACGCACACAAAAACGTTTGGCTGAAGTTTCCAGAAGTGGACAAGGACGCAGAGGAAGTACTTTAATAGGCGGTGTAGGAGGGTGGGTTTGGGCCCTTATTGGAAGACAGGTTCTACTGGCTCTCATTCTGCTATCTCTCCTTCTCCTCAGGTTGTTTCTGGTCCAAGGGGGAGAGCTGCCAACTTTCACTGCGTAAGTTTGCTTGAAACGTGTAGTTATTTGAGAACTTAAAAACTAATTTTTAAATGACAATGAATGTTGTGTAGAAATTTATATAGGTCATGTTTTTTTTTTTAAGAATCGATGAACATAGTTTAGACTTTTCAAGAGTAATGAACGTAGTGAAGACTCTTATATAGGTCTCACTGATTTTTTATTCAGGAAAAGTCTTAAAAGTCTCTAATAATTACAGCTGTGAATTCATACATATTGATGCATTTATGAATGCACTTATTGAGTTCAATTGAAATTCATCTGCTGAAATTGACGTAAATAGCGCTCTCCAAATACGAATGTGGAAATGGCGCAAAAAACGTGAACGATTTCTATTTTGAAAGTGGAATTTAATTTTTAGATTTCCAGCGGAATAAAAACGTAACCTCTTGATCCAGTTTTCTCTAGTTGGGTTCATGTTATCAAAAAAGCGCCGATCATAAATTATTCTAGAAATGCAAAGAGGTTAAATTGCGTCTATTTTTTTCTTTGAAAATCGAAAGTTCAGATTTTTTCAAGAAAGTGTTTTTTTAATGTTTACTTGCGTTCATTACTCTTTTCCAATCTTCGATTGGCTATGTTATATAGGTCGTGACGAAAAAAAAATCAGGACAAGTATTAAAATTTGTTCAGGTTCAAGTTCCTTTTTCGTAGTTTGAAATTTGATTTCTTTTAATATTAGTTCATCTTCTTTGTTAAAAGGGAGGCAAACTCCACTATCAAACAGCGAAAATTTAAAGGTTCCGAAAAACGAAATCGACTTCCAGTTTCGGAACTGATTTGTAAATTTTCGCAGATAAATTTAAAAAATCAATTATTTCAGTTTTCTCTAAACGGGATATTTTTTGCGAGAAAATGCCTGTCCTAAACAGTATTTGAAATTCAAAGAGTTTCAACGTGATATATTTTTTCTTCAAAAAGTGTTCAAAACATTTCAATAAATTTCCAATTTTCATGAAATTCTAAAGCTTTAGTTGGGTGGGTTGTTAGAGTACTCTCAGGAGTTGCAAAATTGAACTCCAATTATGACTGCTCAAACCCTTGTTTTCGAGATATAAAGCTTTTTTTTGATTTTTTCAAAAAAATTTCAGAAAACTTCAATTAATTTTGTTTTTCAAAATTGGAGATTCCTAACCCTGTAGTTGGGTGCTGTCAGAGTACTCTCAGCGGTTACAAATATTTCCTTCTAATATGACTGCTCAAATCGTTGTTTTCGAGATATGACGTTTTTTGTGGTTTTTCAAAAAAATTTCAGAAAATTAAAATGAGTTTTTTTTTCTTCAAAGTTTGATATTCCCAACCCTGTAGTTGGGGTCTGTCCGAGAACTCTCGGTAGTTGCAAATCTTGCATCCAAATCCGACTACTCAATTGCTTTTAGTTGCCGAGATGTGACGTATCTTAATCTATTATAAACTTAGCTATAAAAAATTTTCACAAAATTTTATGGTTTTTAAAATTTGAATTAAAAACGAATAAAAAACTTTACATTTTTCTTTATGCAATGAGTGCAATGAAATATCCTAATTTGGAACGTTTGCCATCATAGTTTCGAAAACTTTCAATCATGTCCAATAAGACATCGTGTGACAATTTTCCTAGTTGAAAGATGAACACAATTTTTTTTGTGAGTTTCAGGTTTGACAACCCAGCCGCAATGTCTCCGTCCCCTACTAGGGAGTTGAGTCTGCACTACTTACTACCTGTGAACTGCTGGTTGCTACTATGTCCCTGGTGGCTGTGTTGCGACTGGTCCATGGGCACCATTCCTCTCATTGACTCCCCACTGGACCCAAGGAACGGCTGCACTCTTCTGTTCTGGGTTGCGTTCGTCCTCGTGTGCAGACGCTGCTTCTCGCCTTCCTTCTCAACTTCTGTGCCTAACTCTCGACATCGCACGCTTCTCTCGGCTCAGACTGCACTCGTGAGTATCTTCTTAATAGATGTTATGGCAAGCTTCTACAGTGATATCGTATGCACATGCGAATCATACCACATGTATTGTCACCATTAACATCGTTGAAGCTTTGATAGTTTTGCCTATATACAACTGGTTTACCTTGCTTCAGGCCGTGGCACTAACTGTGTTTCCCTTTGTGCCTGCGAGTAATCTCCTGTTCCCAGTTGGGTTTGTAGTGGCCGAAAGAGTGTTATATTCACCCAGTGCCGGATTTTGTCTGCTGGTGGCATTAGGATTTAGACAGCTTCTCAGACATGTCCAAAATAGCGCATTTTTATCATCTTCATCATCGAATAATGCTTCTTCTGTAAATTATCCGACTGTCTATGTCAGCAAATGGTGGTCTAGATTTGTGTACGGGGGTCTACTGCTACTCTTGTGTTCTTTCTTTGCAAAAACTGCGATAAGGAACCACGACTGGTTAGTTCTTAATTGGCCGAATAGCTTTTAAGTTGCGGAATCGATTGGTTTATAGAAATTGGTTATAAATTTTTACCTATTTTTCATATAAATATCCAAATTGAAAGTAACCGGGGTACATGTATGATAGTTGGGTCCCTAAGAAAGCAAGTGTGAAAGAATTTCTTCGGGAACCCATCTAAATTTTAGGGACCCAACTATCGTGCTTGTACCGTAACTCCTAAGTGAGAGATACATTGTTAATGTTAAGGTAGTTATAAATCTGTTTTCAAGCTATGTGCGCTACTAAAATCTATAAAATTTTATAGTTTAACATTTGAAGAGCACCAGCTTGAGCAGACATTGAAGGCTATCCAACCTGTTTGCAGTGCCGCGAATTAACCGAACGAATAAATTTAATCTCGAAATATGAACGAATGTTTCTTAAATAAGTTCGTTCAACTTAAGCGAAACTTGACGATTATTTAAAAATGCTCTTATTTTCGCCAGATTTACTGGTGTGCATTAAGTTTCTAAAATTCGGACCCAAAAGTTCGAACAAAAAATGGGTCAGAAAAGTACTCATTTCGGGTCTTTTTCGAGCCCTTTTGTTTGATCAACAGATAGTGCAAACTATCTATTCACGTTGGTCTTAAACCATCTTAAAATGAACGTAATTTTTAGAACATTTTAGTTCAAAAAACGGATAACATATCCAAATAAATATTTTTCGGTCTGATAGTAAAAAAAACTTTTAATAAAAAAATCATTTATCAGCTAAATAACAGTAAGAACTTTTCTTTGAACAAACAAACCTGGTGTTTTTGCATCAATTCACTTATCTTCAAGCAACTTTAAATGCTGAAGCGTAGTTTAAGAAAAGATCCGTTAATCTCATATCTACCCTTCCCAAGAGTTTCTTAATTGTTTAAATTTAATCTGTCGTTTACACTTTGAAATTTTATTGCTCCTTCTGTCTTTTTGAGAAGTAGAACTTCATGCTTCAGAATGAATGAAAACTGATTTTGAAGTTTATAACCATTTTTTATTTGTAAAAGAACGAAGTGATTCTCAGTTATATCGGTATTGATTTTTTCCGGAAAAAATTGTTCACGCTCAAAATTGATTTTTCGCTGTTTGACTTAGTTTTTTTTTAAGTTCACTTCATTTCCTTTGTTTAAATGAAGGGAATTCACTATCGAATAGTAAAGGGAAGGAAAAGGTCAGGTAAAACTTGAATGACTTCTAGTTTTAAAAATGGACTTTTATTTCCTAAAGTCCCAGCGGAATAAAAAATCGCCAATTGATTCAGTTTTCTGTAAATGGGATATTTTCTCGAAGAAATGCCGATCATAAACAATATTTGAAACTCAAAAAGCTTCAACGTGATATTTTTTTCTTCGAAAATTGAAAAACGTTTCCTCGTTCTTTTACACTTCCAACTGTCTGTTGGCTATAATCGCTGTCTTCATGAGCACCATTGCCTTGCTTTCAGATCCATTTTTTCATTGATTTTTCAGCCGATTTGCTCTGATAAGCTTATGAAATAGCTGTGTATAATTGAGAGACAAATCAGATAATTGCCCAGGGTGGCAGGATCATTTTGTTTCGTTCTTTTTTGAAAAAAAACTTTTTTACACTACAATGTTCTAGAATAATCTAAGACTGTGATTAATAATGACACTGACTTATTGAAAGTTGGGACAACTGCATGTTCCATGTATTAACGTCACTTTTAAATCCATTCAAATGTGGATTCCAAGAAGTCTCGTGAATAGTTCTTAAGAACGAAATAATGCAACAGAAGCTTGGTGTAATCTTGTGCCTGAAGTCGAGAAATTGCAGTGTTCGAGGACATCTAGAAGCCAGAATTTGATCATCAAAGAAAAGAAGCGGAAATAAAGATAATAGAATCACGAGCTTGTGATATAGTAACCAACTGGAGCTAAAAATGTTCAATTTCTGATTCATATGAGATTTTCTGTGGGACTAAAGCCGTCTGTACAAAGTGAACGATTCAATAGCGGAAACACTTGCATCAACAGTAATTTGAGACCAAAGTTTCGTTACACATAATTAACCTTGTATCTCTACAAGGACAGTCGACTATGATACAACTTAGATAGTTTTTTAGTACCATTCACATAGTGAAGCAGGTTTACCTGCTGTCTCCACGAATGGAATATTATTACTTGTCTAATTACTCTTGTATTTGTACAAGGACAGTCGGCTATGATACAATTTTTGATAGTTTTTTAGTTCCGCTCGCATAGTGAAGCAGGTCTACTTGCTGTCTCCGCGAATGGAATATTGTTAGTAGTCTAATTATTCTTGTTTTTGTATAAGGACAGTCGGCAATGGTTCAATTTTGTTTTTAGTTTTTTTAGTAACCTTTGCATAGTGAAGCAGGTTCACCTGCTGTCTCCACGAATGGGTTTTTGTTACTAGTCTGTGGGCAAGGACAGTGGCCTATGAAGCAGGTTTTCCTCTGTATCCTTGAGTGAAATAATGTTGCTAGTCTAATTACTCTTTTATTTGTTCAAGGACAGTCAACTTTGATAGTTTTTTAGTACCATCCACATAGTGAAGCAGGTTTAACTGCTGTCTCGGCGAATGGAATATTGTTACTAGTCTAATTATTCTTGTTTTTGTATAAGGACGGTCGGCAATGGTTCAATTTTGTTTTAAGTTTTTTTAGTAACATTTGCATAGTGAAGCAGGTTCACCTGCTGTCTCCACGATTGGTTTTTTTTACTAGTCTGTGGGCAAGGACAGTGGCCTATGAAGCAGGTTTTCCTGCTGTCTCCTTGAGTGGAATAATGTTACTAGTCTAATTACTCTTTTATTTGTTCAAAGACAGTTAACTCTGATACAACTTTGATAGTTTTTAGTACCATTCACATAGTGAAGCAGGTTTACCTGCTGTCTCCACGAATGGAATATTATTACTTGTCTAATTACTCTTGTATTTGTACAAGGATATTCGGCTATGATACAATTTTTGATAGTTTTTTTAGTTCCGTTCGCATAGTGAAGCAGGTCTACTTGCTGTCTCCGCGAATGGAATATTGTTTTTAGTCCAATTATTCTTGTTTTTGTATGAGGACAGTCGGCAATGGTTCAGTTTTGTTTTTAGTTTTTTAGTAACATTTGCATAGTGAAGCAGGTTCACCTGCTGTCTCCACGAATGGGTTTTGTTACTAGTCTGTGGGCTATGAAGTATGTGGGCAAGGACAGTGGCCTGTGGAGCAGGTTTTGCTGCTGTATCCTTGAGTGGAATAATGTTGCTAGTCTAATTACTCTTTTATTTGTTCAAGGACAGCCAACTCTGATACAACTTTGATAGTTTTTTAGTACCATCCACATAGTGAAGCAGGTTTACCTGCTGTCTCGGCGAATGGAGTCTTATTACTAGCCTCATTATTCTTGTAATTGTACAAGGACAGTCGGCTATGATACAATTTTTGATAGTTTTTTAATTCCGTTCGCATAGTGAAGCAGGTGTACTTGCCTTCTCCTCGAATGGAATATTGTTACTAGTCTGTCGGCAAGGACAGTGGGCTATGAAGCAGGTTTACTGCTGTCTGCACGAATGGAATAATGTTACTAGTCTAATCACTCCTGTATTTGTTCAAGGACAGTCGACTATGATACAACTTTGATAGTTTTTTGTACCATTGGCATAGTGAAGCAGGTTTACCTGCTGTCTCTATCAAAGGAATATTGTTACTTGTCTAATTACTCTTGTTTTTGTACAAGGACAGTCGGCTATGATACATTTTCGATAGTTTTTAAGTTCCGCTCTTATCGTGAAACAGGTGTACCCTTTTGTCTCCGCGAATGGAATATTGTTACTAGTCAAATTATTTTTGTTTTTGTATAAGGACAGTCGGCAATGGTTTAATATTGTTTTCAAATTTTTTAAATAACATTTGCATAGTGAAGCAGGTTCACCTGCTGTCTCTACGAATGGATTTTTGTTACTAGTCTGTGGGCAATGAAGTCTATGGGCAAGGACAGTGGGCTATGGAGCAGGTTTTCCTGCTGTCTCCACGGATGGAATAATGTTTTTAGTCTAATTACTCATGTATTCGTTCAAGGACAGTTGACTATGATACAACTTTGATAGTTTTTAGTACCATTAGCATAGTGAAGCAGGTTTTATTGCTGTCTTCGCGAATGCATTATTGTTACTAGTCTAATTACTCTTGTTTTTGTACAAGGACAGTCGGCTATGATACATTTTCGATAGTTTTTTAGTTCCGCTCTTATCGTGAAGCAGGTCTCCGCGAATGGAATATTGGTACCAGTCCATTTTTTTCTGTTTTTGTATAAGGACAGTCGGCATTGGTTAATTATTGTTTTTAAGTTTTTTTAGTTACATGTATAGTGAAACAGGTTCACCTGCTGTCTCTACGAATGGATTTTTGTTACTAGTATGTGGGCTATGAAGTCTGTGGGTAAGGACAGTGGGCTATGGGGCAGCTTTCCCTGCTTTCTCCACGAATGGAATAATGTTACTAGTCTAATTGCTCTTGTATTTGTTCAAGGACAGTCGACTATGACACAACTTTGATAGTTTTTAGTACCATTCGCATAGTGAAGCAGGTTTAATTGCTGTCTTCGCGAATGCATTATTGTTACTAGTCTAATTACTTTTGTATTTGTTTAAGGGCAATCAACTCTGATACAACTTCGATAGTTTTTTAGTACCATTCACATAGTGAAGCAGGTTTACCTGTTGTCTCCACGAATGGAATATTATTACTAGTCTTATTGTTCTTGTGTTTGTACAAGGACAGTCGGCTATGATACAACTTTCGATAGTTTTTTTTTCTGTTGGCATAGTGAAGCAGGTGTACATGCTGTCTCCGCGAATGGAATATTGTTACTAGTCTAATTATTTTTGTTTTTGTACAAGGACAGTCGGCAAAAGTTTAATTTTGTTTTAGTTTTTTTAGTATCATTTGCATGGTGAAGCAGGTTCACCTGCTGTCTCCACGAATGGGTTTTTGTTACTA